AGGGCGCACCGCACATTTTGAGGGGAAAAAAAGACGTTTATGTGCGCCTTATAGTCGTGAAAATACGGTATATAAAATGTTGGCTTGTAAGGCTTCTTGAAGCCTGCTTTATTTAGTCGGAGAAATGCTGGTGTAACTTGTTTTTCAGTAATTTGTTTGACATTGTGGTTGAAACGGTCCAACTTAATGTGTTTGTGACACTGTTGCACGGGTTAATTTTTGCATCTTTCTTCTATGTGTGATTAAAATAGACTTTTAGTATTCCACAGTTAAACTGAAACTTCATAGGCTACGTTATGCATATTTAAAACGTGCTAAAAATCACTAACTGGTTATTTACTATTGCTATTTAAGAATTAATGTAATCTATGGGGTTAAATAACCTGTACAAATCCACTTCTGTTGTTAAAATGCTTTAATACATTTTTGATGCATTTTTTTATGATAATTAAAAACTAAATAGTCTTAACTTAAAGTTAAAAACAGTCTATTTTCATAAATATATTTCATGATGCATTTCTCAGAACTATTACAATGTGCAATATGGTAAATGCTTTGTTTGGTTTCATTTCTTTTAAAGGTTTTTCACCTGCTTAATTAATGATTATCTGTAAACGACACAAGAAGAAAAATAAAAAAGGAAAAGATGAAACAACAGTTTGGTCATTAAGTGGAATCCAGTTTAATGTTCAGCTTAATACAACCCTTCAAGTGTGGGAACAGCACAGGAAAAATTTAATCACTTGACACCTACTGTAGCCTCCTTCTGATCAGCAAGGGCTCCATATTAGTTCTTTAAACATCATGCTTTCATCAAAACTCTCCAGTGATGTCGCTCCTACTGTTTGAAGACTCGCAAGTTAGCTACTTTTGATGCTGCATCAGTAAGATATATAAAATGAAAGTTAGAGGAAACACAAACTTTCAAACAAACTATAAATTAGAAATACAATTGTTTGTATTGTGGGGCAGAAAGGCATTGAGGAATATTTTTCAGGTGGAAAAACTATTTTAAATGTCATCATGTCTGATTTACAGGTCATTAAATGAAGAGAAAGTGACAAAAAAAATGATTTAGCCTCAACAGTTTTTTTCCAAAAACAAACACCGTAAACACCCTGAAACCCCATTTGAAACTTTGGACGAACCCTTAGACTTTATAG